TATTAATTTACAAACCATACTTCAAAAAATCCAGGAGCTTATGTAGATATTTGTACTTCACAGGATTAAGCCATGTAATAGCTCTGGGTTATAATATATATGTCTCTGCTTCACTTTAGAGACATCATAATCATTGCATGTTAGAGAACACTCTCAATCATCTCACTGGGGCATAAGGTAATTCAGTTGATAGGGACATTAATCTAGCCAATGGTATAGACTTTAAAACACTGTTGTAGAAAGGAAACTACACAAGTAGAATCTAGCTATAAACCGCAATACATGTATTGTTGACTTGTACAGATTAAACCATTGAGTGACTAGACACTATTTCCATAAACAATCGGGCTGATGATAAGGCAAAACTTTCAATAACATTAATTCACAAAGGCAGAAGACCCATGCCTTCTGTATGAATAGAACCCAAGTGGAGACTATGCCCAGTACTGTGTTCCTAATTCAATACTTTTGACTTAGCTGTTAGCCAGCCCTTGAGAGCCCAGGCCATGTGCTACAGACTACTGTGACTTTAGACTCTGTTCTTTTGAGATGCAAAACATCCAACTTAGACCACACCAGAAAGACTTGATGTGGGAACCCCACTAAGTGAACTGGGGGGCTCCTCATAATCACCTGTAGTCCTTGGTCTCAAGGCTAAAAGTTCCTAGTGGTTTCAAAACCAAATAACTGCTATCCCAAGGTTAATAGAACTGGTGATCTTTGGGCTTTGGTGCAGATCACTTGCCTTGAGGGTACTCAATGAATGGTGGCCATATATTTATTATTTTCATGCCCTCCTGTCTTTGTTATGATATGTAATTCTCTTATTCTTATATGCCAAAAAAGCAAGAAAATTATCAAATTACCGAAAATCTTGACCCTTTTAGACATGTCATTCAAGTAATCATAAATAAACATTTAAATACCAGAGGACTTCAAGAAGTTCATGGAAATATGGAACTGAATAAAATGGGAAATTTTCATGAACTTTTGAAGCCCCTTTACACACATACACACATACATACACACAAGGGCTTCAAAAAGTTCTTGAAAATTTTTCATTTATTTCCTTTTTTCCATTAATTTTTTACCCCCGTGTGTGTGTATGTGTATCTGCGTGTACATGTTTATATTTGAATTTTGATTTTAAGATACTTGATTACCCCAATATAGAATATTTTAGAAGATAATTACGTACAAGGGAAAGTAAAAAATATTTGTAAATAATCATAAAATGTCTTATTAATAAGAGTTGTATAAGCCCCCAATAAAATGAGTTAAAAAGGAAAAAAATGCCTTATTAAACAAAAAATATCAACATACAAAGCCGTTGTTTTTCACCATATCCTCCTCCTCCTCGGTATATTCACTTAGGAATGAATTCTGCACTTGGATTTACACCACATCAAAATAGCAGTTTGGGCATCCTCCAGGAACTCGAGTCATCTTTCTTTTACTATAGAGTTTGGGAACAAACCAAGGTTGTAGGGTGGATGGGATAAGGTTTCCCAGTGAAATTCTGATGGGATACCTCTTGCTACCCTGGAAGAAAGAACAGATGCATTTCATATTGGTAAAAATTTATCAGTGCAACTTTTGCGGCCTTTTTCCTCACCAATGCAGTTTTCTGCTTTCTTTAAAGTTCTTCCTAATAAACCTCCATAATTGTCCCGTGTCCTT